TTTCGTTGTCGCTCTATTAGAAACTATGGTATGGTTCGTTGGGCGAATCCGAGAGACTCATAAAAATCCTATCTTTAGAAAAAAAGAAAAGAAGAAAAAAAAAGAAAACTACTCTTGATGTCCATTGTTAGTGCATTAACCAATAACTTGCCACTTATCAAGAATTACCGACTTAGCCCTCATCAGACTGGCACATCTGGTTGGCTGAACGGAGGTTAAACTAGGTAACGCTAATATTCCCTAGAAACCTATATTCGGTTGAGCCATCTCGCTACCGTAATATTCAGTTATAAATAGATTTGGAAAGTAATTATAGTTCTACCAATAGAACTAGACCAAATCTTATGTTTGGTATTTTACTGGGGCCTTTTAATGGCCTTGTCCAAATATCTGATATGTAAAATTGAAAAGGTATTAATTTATAAAACCGTTAAATACCATTTAGGAAACTTAAGTTCCTTGTACTATTAAGAATACGTTTATAGTTTACGTACTGCTTAAGAGTACGTTTATAACATAGAGTCTAATGTGGAGGCTCGGCTATTACACCTGGAGGCTACATCAAACATGTGAAATACATACTTCTCATCATGTCGTCCTACATCCATTACAACCAAATCAATGATGACCCTGCGCATTGGTTCATCTTCGAGCACCGACTTTAGTCGGACCCAACCGTAGCGCTTGATTTGGTTCTTTTTGCAATCAACACACTTAAAGTACTTTTGTTCGCAAAGTTTACGCAGAATGAGGTTGATCAGACCTCTGCGCTTCGCTTCTGCAAACATCGCATCTACTGTTGAATGCGTCAAGTTATGATATTGCTTGATCCACTTAAGTGTATCAGCATCTGACGTATTCGAAGAAGTCTGAACTTTTCCTGAGTCTAAACTCTTGAGCGAGATTTCTCCGAGAGTTATAGGCTCCTCAGGAGATTTTTGAGAAGTAGAAGCATTGATAAATATAGACTTGTCTATATCTTCATTTTGTACTTTATCCTTTAAAGGATTAACAATAGCAATACTGTTAGAATCGTGCCCATCAGCTTGACTTAAGTCAGCCAACTTCATGAGTTGATCATAAACTTCAGGCGTATCTATCTTTAAAGGTGATATGATTCTTGTACGAGCTTCTTCGGTCGCATCTTTCATACTACTATGAAAATGATCAGCTATAACTTTAGCTCTACTCTCATGCAATGTGGACGCAAATACTTCGTGAGTAGTTTTGCTTAGTCTCTGAAGACTGTGTATCCTTCTGTGTTTCTGTATTGTCATATACAAGTTTATAAATAGGTTTACTGTTTATTTGGTTAAGGGGAATGGTAGACTTCTCTACCTTACGTTGAAAGTCCTCTGAAATCTTCCAAGTAGAAGTTCCTTTTGGACCAGTACGACATATTATCGTATGGCGCCATGGCGTCTTTTTGATCGCCCGGGTACACGTATACAGGAAGGTGTCAACCTCACGATCCAAGTAAATTGGTTCGGGAGCCAGGAATCAGATTTCTGTAAAAGACAACACAGAGTGATGGTCGCGATCATTATGTTAACATAATTGAGCAATTGCCGAATTAATTTCCAAGGCGGATTTGCCCACGCGTTATGTTCCCTGAGATTAATCTCGAACGCGTCACCCTTTGGGTGATTAGGGGATCTATAATCCGGAAGTTGTACATTGTGTAATGCTGCAAACATATCAATTGTATGTTTACCCCATCTCTTTTCAGCTAACCGAAAGAATCGTGGGTGCAACTTCCAATCAGTTGCTAACAACTCTCGGACAGTCCTCTGATAGTCTGGTAACAGACGAGTCAATATATCCGGTAAGTGGTTGTGCACACCTAGTATATGTTCTTTTGTAAAAGAGAACTGACATACACGGTCATGCCATCTACTTATCAGTTGATTGTGTGGCTTCATATCATTTACATATATTAAAGACATCTGGTCACATGACACTTTAAAGTGTGTGCCATATAGATAGTCTTTAAAGAACTCTAAAGCAGATACAATTGCTAACAACCCCTGCTTTACAGTAGGATAATTTCGCTGTGAAGCATTTAAGCTCTTGCTAAAGAACTGTACATATCTAGGTTTGTTCTCAACAACCTGATATAGTACTCCTCCTACAGCATTATCCGATGCATCCGTCGCTATTTTAAACGGAATACCGTCTATAGGACGTCGCATTACTGGCACAGCTTGAACGGCAGTCTTTACTTTTCGTAAAGCCTTCTCACATTCTGCTGTCCATAAGTCTCCTAGTTTACCTTTATGTAAACGTAGAAGACTAACGGGCTTTAATAAGTCCGACAGGTGAGGGACCCCATCTGTAAAGAAATTAACAAACCCACAAAGGCTGTTTACATCCTTTCCAGTTGTAGGGGTTCTCCAGTCTAGAAGATGATCCACTTTCCCGGGATCAATCTCTATACACCTTATTTACTCCCCATTCACACTTCTTCTCATTAATTTTAAAATTATCTTCACTCTGGTGTGCGAGGACTTGTCTTAAGACGTGTTCATATCCTTCATTAGTTGTCGAGAAGATAATAATATCATCCAGGTAAACTTTTACTTGAGGCATATCCTCAAGTTGAATGAAAGCAGGAAGCATATGGAGCCCAAATGGTGCTGCTTTGAACATATATTGCTTTCCTTTCCATGCAAATGAAAAGTACTTACGGTGTTCCCTAAGGATCTTTAACTGATGATAGCCTTTAGTAAGGTCTATCTTTGAAAAAAACAGTTGCCCCTCCAAGTGATCTCAGTAACTCGTTTATACGAGGTAGATGGAAGCTATGTGTTGGTATGATCTTATTAATAGGACTCATATCCAAACAAACTCTGACCTTTTAAAGGACCCATCAGAATTAAATTAGTCGACTGCTAACAGCGCCAAGTTAGAAGGTGTTGGTTCGAAGTCAACTTCTATTACACCATCTTCTAACCATTGAGAAATCTGTTTTGAAACAGTTTCCATGTGTCTGTAAGAGACATAGTTACGTGATGGAGTCTTTAACTTTGTAAAGTCCACTCTTGACATGCCTAAACTAACGTAACCATTGTTAAATTTGATTTAGCTCATTGGGTTATCTTAATAGTTCGATTGGTAACAATCAAACTATGAAAATAATAACAAGATCAGGAATCAGTTCCTTAATCTTATCACTTGGTGGCGACGGTGGGCTTAATATATTATCGTCAGGTTGGTCCTTTATAGGATCCATATGTTTGGTGGGCCCGTAAGGGTTATCCCAAAAGATAATAAGTCACCCATACCAATGATACAATCACATTGATTAGACATCTCTAAAATTACTAGATCGGTCTGAACCATTCGATGATCTATCAATGTGATATTAATATCATTGGCTTTCTCATAACATACAAGTTCTTTCTCGTTCGGCATAATAATATGCGTATTCTCTAAAGAAGTTTCTATGTCACACATAAGTGTTACACGATGAGAAAGACAAGATATTTGAGAGCCAGGATCTAATAACGCATTAACCTTTATTCCGTGAACGAAAACTGGTAATATAATACGTTCATCTTCTTTAGAAAATATCCTCTTAACCGTCGCCACGTGGTATCAATGCTGAGTCGTTCCCTGGGAATCGTCATTTGATGGCCTCTTCTTGATTTGAACTCTCGGAATTGATGTACTTCTTGCATGCGGTACACTCAAGTGCTTGCTTACATGAATCTTTAATTTCCCATAAAAATTCTGTTTAGGCTTATTTTGATGCAAAATACTATCGCATTCAACACACAACGCATACTTAGTTGTAAAACCTTTCTGCTGTTGTTGATGTTGAGTTGGATGCTCCTGTTGGAGTTGTGCAGCATACGTACCTTTACCTTGTTTAGTGCTACCACTAGTTTTGGATGAAGTCGTATGAGTTTGAAGACTTCTTCATTGGCTGCACTAAGCGGTTTTGTGTCCATTCTTCGACTGTAAAAGCCTCGACAAACATATCCCACGTAAAATCAGTCAAGTTTGCTGACAGCTTTTCAGTTTTAGTGTTTAACCACTTAAATCCTTACTGTCGTTATGATCTATTCCTAAGAGTAGATATCACGTGCATGAACATTATTTCTAATGTTCTGCGCTGGCCCTTGGCCCAGCCTTGCTGACAAAGCTATTTTAGGCGATTGTCAAAATCTTGTACAAAGGTCTTCACCGAGACATTAAGATTTCCTCCATTTAGCATGCTAGATAGTAGAGGTATTCTTTTGTCATTACAGACGATTTCTTGAACTAAGTTAAAGAAATCATCTGGTGTCGTGGCTGCTAATTTTTAAATATGTGGACGTCGTCGTGGTATACCAACCCAGCTGGAGACCTGATTAGTGGTTACCTGGGGAGTCCTCTGGATAGTGGAAACTCGAGAGTCGGGACTTGGGTGTCTACGCAGTGGGTAGTGGACCTTGGACCGTGAAGCGCGTGACGGACAGACAATGTGTGATCACTCATCAGTCATCACTGATCAGTGATGAGTCATGAGTAATAAAATGATGACTCTCGAGTCCTGACTAAAGAGTGGACAGTGAACACTAGACAGTGGACCAATGAAAAGCGGACACTCTGGAGTCCGGAGACTGGTCACGTCTGAAAGTAAAAGTTTCTCAAACTGAAAGTTCTTGTTGGTATCAAAATCAAATGCAAATATTCCACACTCCACAGGAGACCTGAAAAACACTTGGTAAATATTCCAGTTCCTTTCTCTTTTTAGTCCTTTTTTTTTTTTTGAAATTTATTGGTTTGATTCCATATTACGCCACTCTCCGGGCCTCCAGCCGCCCCCCTCCTCCCATGTGCAAACGAACAGACAATCACCCTGATTTCACTTTCAGACCGGTGTAGTCCCGACACTATCTAGGACTGACACGGATGTGAGACAAGACTGGCACTGTACCTAGGCCTGTAATTCTGTCCTGTCCTGTCCTCTCCATTGAGACTCTCTCCTTTTGAGAGTAGGTCAACACCAAGAGCTATCCGAGGTGCGGGGTTTCAAGGTCCAGTTCCACGGACACATGGATCTTGTCTAAACCTGAGAAGGGCCAACTTATATCATATAGTGAGAATCAACCCATACTAGCGTCATTTTGTACACTAGTAGTTTGATAGTGAACATCTATATTTGGGTTTCGATAGCAAACTCAGTATACAGTCTACTAAAACCAAGATCTAACTGCTTAGACTACTACCTAACCAGGGTTGCTAATCAATATTATCTTCTTTTATTTCTTTTTGCCAGGTTATTGTTCCTTTATTTAGGTACCTATCTGTCATAGCTACCCTCTAAATTTCAGGCCGACCATGAAACGAGCAAATGCGCCAGCAGTCTTTACTGGCCGTCGTAAGCGACCGATCTCCACCTTTATGAAGACTTGTGACTCATACAAATTTGCGGCTACAGATTGATCACTTTACGGAGTTCCTCCATCCCCCAAACCAACTAGCTGTATTAGATATACTTGACTCTAACACGACAGTGGAGGAGATTACCCAGTACCTTATTTCTGACTATGGCGTCAACTCACTTTGTGAAACGGGAGAATAGTACAAAATCGTTGGAAAAGGCTAGTATTTTGAACACGTCCTCACCAACGGATGCACGGCTCAAGCTACTGCTTATTTCTGACTTTGCGCTCTACGGTATTTTTGCTACCATCTATTGGCTCCATTATGAATTCCTTTCGAATGATGGAATACAGTTGACCCCCCAGGATACGGGCAAGGGCAAGTTGGTATCAGCTGCAGAGGGAATTAGAGTGCAGGATTATTTCAGATTAAATCCGATAGCACCACTGGGACCATCTATCAATCACAGATTATAAACTTTAACTGAACCGAAAAACCTTGTTGCGGATGACCGCCTTCGAGATGACAGTGACCAGGCAAATAGCAAAAAGAGTGTACGGACTGATGGACATGCCATGCATACCCGCCCCTTCCGATTAATGAACGATACCAGGCCAATTGGCCCGCTGCCTTGAGCAACTACCTTTCTTAGCTCAACAGTTAAATCTCATGCCTCCGCCACACAGCAGCAGGTTGCTGACTATTGGCATGAGTTCACGGTAGATTGCCAATACCACTCTCGGGATGAGATGGTACCGGGGGTGAACGATTCATAACCGGACTTGAATAAGATAGAGCAGTGACTTAAGGCAGCACATTTAGAGGCTCATAAGTAACCGATGCGGGGACCATTTATTAAACTCCCTTGACTCGGTTGGCAACCTAGGGGTCAACGTGATGTGTTTCATGTGAACGGATTCAAATGTCACTAAGATGATGACTTCATTTATCCCTAAGCCGGGAACGAGCGTAAGTATATCTATCTACACGAATGTCACTGTTGGTACCCAATTGTTTTGCTAGATAATATTCAGGACCAACTCCGCCCAACGTGTGGCCAACCCATGGGTCGTCGGCGGCTCTCGACTTCCACTGATAATAATTCCAGCCGAGAACTGGTTGTTCTCGTTGTACCGTGTCAATATGTTTGTGCGGATATTGCACGAGAGGTGGATAAGCAGATAAGCTTTCACACCAGGCCTTACTACCTGTGTGTACACTAGATATTGCGGTTCGCAAACCACTTGCTATTGTATGGAGCAAGGATGTCGTCGAATTGTTCGATGGTCTTGAGGAGTTACACCTCGCACTGTGGTCCTTTGTTTCGGCGGCGTATTCTGGTTTTCAGAAGGCATCACTGGTCCAAACATTGGACTTTTATGGTCTTATGAAGTTAGCTACGGATGTGAGTAAACTCGTATCAGTTATATCTTGTGAATACCTCAAGAACCAATGTGAAAGTAGGGAATGAAACATGCACAGCATGTCTCGGGGTTCTTTTGGTTCGTCTTGTGAACACAGTCGGTCTCGAGAGCGAGACCATGATCGAGGGAGATTCTACGATCGCTACAGAAGTAGGGGTGCAGATGACTCGAGTCGCTGTATCGATAGATATCGAAGAGAGCGCTCGCATGATATCCTATACCAGGAGTGGGATAGTATTCGCTATATGCATGCACGCCGGCAGTCCGACGACAACCGGCCGTGGTATAGGTCCTCGAGCTAGGATGTACCCACCTGCCCGAAGTGTAAATTAAATCATAAAGACAAACTGTGTCCCGTCTGCCATTCGTGCCAACAGCCAAGTCACTATTCTAACAAGTGTCCATCAGTGAAGACTGTTGCTGCGGCGGCTACTATCTCAGCACATACTCCTATATTGGGTGTTGATGTAGCCAGACAAATATGATCCGTGGACTGGACGGGATCTGTGATCAAGGCATATTGTGAGGACGAATCAATCGATGTCTATATGAACTCAGGTTCCTGGCCAGCTATGATCAGTCGTGCTTTTGCTTTGGCGCTCAACTTCCCTATCATTAATGTCCCACCAATCTATGTGGAACGTTTTGTAGGGAGGTGGAATGAATCACTTTCGCAACAGGTATTATCCACCCTGTTGTTCCATGATAATTCTGGGAACCCCTACCTTATTTGAATCATCTACCGTCGATTTTACGTAGCCGACTGGCTGCCCATGAATTGCCAGGTCTTGATCGGATTCGATCACCTACAGGAGAATCTTATAGGAACAACCTGGGACGAAGCATATACCCTAGCAAAGTTTTGGGATTCTGATGCCCCGCTCGCATGAAATCATAGCAAATATCGATGTGCCTCGTGCTTTGATCCTCAACTACCGAAGAAGAAGTCTTAGTATGATTCACGGCATCGGGAGAGGTTCAGGGCAATCCTGAACAAATCTCAAGCGAAGCTGGAAGAACTCATGGGTCTGTACAATGACGCAGCATACGATAAGGACGCAGAGAAGTACATTAATGCTGTGGTAGTCAAACTGAAGCTCAAGCCTGGGGTCAAGCCTACCCGACAGATATATCGTACGGAGGACCTTGTCCTCCAACAAGTAGAAACGGAAAATGTACTGCATTCTATGTTGCAGGAAAGACAGAGGAGGGAGATGTCTATAGTGAGTGGGTTAGTTCAGTCCGGATTCTGTGGAGGAACCTCCACAAGGAACCCACGTGTGTCAAAGACTACCGCATGACGAGGAACTATGTTCGCGTGAATGGACGCATGTACCGCTTATCTTATGTACTGCCGTTGATGAGCGACATGACTTAGCACTCACAATACAGTCCGCGGGCGACCTAGCGGCTTCATACCATACGTTATTCCTACACCCTGACTCCAGTAGATATCTCACGTTCACTACAGCGGATGGGAAAATTCACCAACCCCGAGTTTACAAGAAGGGATTGAGAATGACTGCTACAATATACAGCATTATATGGACACGACGTTCCGTATTATTAAAGCTTTTAAGGCCTACTTAGGAGATGGCAACTTCGCGACTAAGAAGAAAGCCCGCGAGACATTGTTGTCCGTTTTGAACCGCCACCGGAACGACCTGTTCCGATTCGTGCGCATCTGTTTGGAAAAATATATACAACTCCAGCCGTGAAAGTGCCAACTCGATATTCTGTTTGACGTATTAGTCAAGTTCTTTGGCCGAGAAGAGATATTCAACACCTCGCCTATCTTACGTTCGCGCGCATGAGCATTGTTTGATAGAACCCCGCCGGAGAATCGTCCTGAACTTGTTTCCTTGATAGCAGTCCTCTCGTGGTGGTCTATATACATTCCCGGGTTTGCAGACCGGGCAGTTGTGTTCTCTGACTTGATACGGAAAGTGGCCATTTTCAAGTGAGAGACCAAGCGCTTGCTACTAGCTTATGGATACGGCTGTATCAGCGCTTTCCACACCAAAGTTTAGTACTTACCCCGGACGCTAGTAATCGAGGGGTTGGTACAGCCCTCTTTGTTCTGAGGAACAGTGAGTCATCGCTGAATGTAACGACTATCGTGGTGGTTTGGGGTTGCCACCTGTAACTTTGCACCCCCAGGTCCCTCGTCTCGCACTTCTCGAGGGTGAAACTATTGAGCAATTCTGTGATGAGAGCAAGATAACACTTTGTGACGACGCAGAGCAAGTTCCCACTCTGATATTGCTGCGTTTCCTAAAGTCACACATACGCCCCTTGTTTGTGAGCTAAACATAGTCCTTGCCCTACACGCACACGTGCTAATAGTAATGCTGTTCTAGATGCTATTATTAACTGTAATTACCGAGACCCCCATTGTCCAGCACAGTACCATAGCGACGACTATTCCTCCAATGAGCAAGCAGTGTCCTATGCGTGGTTTTGCTGAGGACCGGATTGACAAACAATTGCATCTCCAGACATCTGATTTTTGTGAACCAATGTTGGACGATACGCAAGTTGTGTCATTACCCAGTAGTGATACCTGTCGACCCATGCTGGATCAGGACCAGACGCCAAACCTTGGACGTACGTCAGACCCCTCCCATGCAGTGGCTCACAGAGACGCGAATGACGACGACGACGAACAAGTATACCCGATCCGTGACAACTCTGTGTGTAACTCACGATTCCTGCACCAGACCATGACCGTATTCGGCCTGATGATCCGGCTCCAGATATGCTCTCCCTCCCTCAGGCGCAGACGGGGCTAGGCATTACCATCGGTCGCACTAAATATATGTTTGCATCCCTTTTCATATTAAGCAAACTCAATGATGCACAGCGTAATTATGATGCCACCAGCCTGGAAATGCTTGCAGTCCGGCTCGCCGTTCGAAAGGTCTCACCACTTCTGCAGAGCTCGTACCGGGAGCTGTTTGTCTTGTCCGACCATAAGTCGTTCGAGAGTGCCCTTCTGGACCCGGGTCGCTACGCCCACTCACGCTCAGTTAAACATCAGCGGTGGATGCGTAGCATCGACGACACACACGAGGTCTGTAACGATATTGAATACATCGAAGGGCCCCTCACTGTTTTTGGAGACTACCTGTCCCGCTGTCTGGACAAATTTAAGGACCTCCTCTTGGTGGCCAATACAACTGTAAAATTCACAGCGGCTGTCGACCTACTGGTGGATATTGTTACGGTGGCTTTCGCAAGTGTAAATGACTCGCAACAACGGGTTATAGTTACATCGGCGGATACGTCAGACCTTGATAGTTGGCACTGCCCCTAGTGGGGCTTGAGAGTTTTCACTGTACATGATAGGGGGTCGACAACAGTTTTTTCTCCCAACATGCCTACTAGAAGCATAGTTAGTTCTCCATTTAAAAAATAATAAAAATCGCTTAAGCGACCGAGGGTTGTCCACGCGCGTGAGCAACAAATTGTATCAGATTTTGAGTGTCACTTAGAAGCCATTTATAAGTTATGTCTGTCTAGCGCGTGCAGAAGCTAAGCTTTGAAGTTAAAGGCTGACTCGAGTTGTGGCTAACTTTTACAAAGGTATGCAATTATACACATTCGATCAAATTTGTGTTAAGCTTTCAAAAATTAGACTTATGTGAATTTGCCCGCAGAACAGACCATCAGTCTAGTTTAATATTCAAGGTCTTCACCTTAGCAAAACCAAAGTAGGAGCTGCTCATTTTGGACATTGTAGTCATAATAGACTAAACCCATGTTCTTTTATATCCAATTTATTTTAGGAATTGATTTTGTAATCCAGAGCTTCGGAGCCGGACTGAGCGCACAATTTGGCATATGCAAAAACATATCCTCGTATCTAGATCTGAAACATTTCTTCGTATTGTTCTGGGTTGTCACTGCTTAAGTGTGTTACCGGCTTGCCGAAATGATTCTCTAGAATCTGCAATGAGGGGCACCCAATTGAATGTACCAGTTATTAGATCACAAATATGAAAAACATATACGAGCGTGCAAACAACGTGTGAATAATGTAGTAAGGGCATGCATTTAAGTTTTTCATTGTTAATCGATACCAGTTGTAAAGTTCTTCAACCTGAACATATATACACGTACACACACACAAACACACACACACAATATATATATATATATCGGATATGCGCATATATATATACATACATACATACATACATACACACACACACACACTCACGCACATATATATTTATATATATAAATATAGATATCTATATATATATTAATAAATAATGTATACAATGACTTATCAGAAAGACAGGCGTTTGTCCCTACGTCCAGCGTACAATAAAATGAGTGTGGCAGTGCGGCACTAGTCTCCTATTAGCATGTGTACACCACAATAATAATATGAACGATGGACACTTCACAATCAAGATAAGGTTCATATTATAGCAAACGACAATTGACTATAGACACGTCAAGAAAATGTCAGTTACCTTCATATTTTCCAGCTCATGCCTGGGCTCTCGCGCGCATATATTGATAGCGGTACCCCTTCGACCGAACCTCCCAGTTCTACCTACTCGCATAAACAAAAGGAAAGTACACAATGTATCAGAGCAATACACGTTCCAGAAAGGCTGATACCTATATATATATATATATAAGTGTACACACACAGACACACACACGCATACACAATGTATATA